AAAGCTTATATAATGCCACTAACTCAGCATTCCTGTCTGAACTACATCATTTGAGGCTATTCACTTGCTTCAGAAAAAATATGGACTTAATCAGACTTTTTCTTGAGGGCATGCAGCTGCAGAGGTGCAAGAATGAAGCCACATGTTGACGTATTAAACATTTTTAGAATTGGATCTTGTTCATCTCTAGTAAATATAGGGTCTCGTCCTCCTTTGGTGGTTGCCTGGGTATTTCTCTGAATTTTCTGGCATTTTGTAACCAGTAAGAGCTGACTGACTTCCCGATTGAGTGTGTAATGTCTTTTACCATTGGGTAACCACTTTCGATCACAAGGCGATCGCACAGGTCAACTTGTAGCAGACCTCTATCCAAGTAACAGTGGTCCGATTCAGACTTACTGTTGACAGATTATTGAATTTATGCAAATAATAAGCAGACAGACTGACCCAGTTCCCATTTTCACAGCAACCACTTGAAAGGCAAATGGATCATAATTTCATTCCAAATGTCACAATAACTGTGCTTTTGCTGCAGTCTCCAACAACTGCTTTAACTATTCTGACTTTGACATAAATAAAATAACAAAACTTGGCATCAGTGACTCACTCCGTTAATTACAAGTGACTCCTACTTATTATCGTACAATATCGAAGTCTAGAAGTGACGTGTAACCAAAGAGTTATAAAGGTGGCAGACAGAACTGAACCTTACCCTGTCTTAAAGTTACTGTCAAGTCTGAGTGTGCAGGAACTTGGAGCAATTTGTCTCAAAGTCCTCCTTTCATTTGCTTTGAGATTAAAGTGGGGGAAGACTGCAACTTTATATGTAACCACGTAAGAATGATATAGCTGTCGGCTAAAAGGATACCAAAACATGCTGAGACAGAAAATGAGGGTTTACCTGAACAGAAAATTGGGCAAATGACATCAGAGGAATTCTCTTGCAACATCAACAGGCTTTTACATACGGAATAAGGTTTGCTTTTCTGTGTTGTGAGGAACTTTAACGGCACTGCGCCTTCTCGAATCATTAGAAATATAAGCATAGTCTAATCCTTAGTCTAAAACCAAATATTATTTCCAAACATTCGTGTGAACAAACAAAACTCCCCTCACCACGCACAACTGTCTGCCAGATACACACACACACAGTCTCCTGTTCCCAAGCATACAGATTTGGCAAGCATTTTCCGCAGACACGCCACCAGTGTTTTCATTTCCGATCCCTTGTAAGCACGATTGTGTTGCTGAGGTGGATTGTTTGAACCTCGAAGTCATGACAGAGTGGTGGGAAAAAGATGCCACAAGGGGCCACTGGAACAGCATAGCATCTGCTATCATTTAGTTGACATCCAGAAATCTTTTTTTTTTTAAGATTAAAGCCTTTTTTTTTATCATGCCCTAAATTTGCTTGAACTTTTAGCTTTCAGGATGCAGGCAGTTGAAAGAACAGGGTTTAAAATAACATTTACAGGAACCCCTGCTGCCTAAAAGTATGCATGAGTGCTGTTTACATAGACAACATGTGGAGCTTTTATCTATAGAAACAATGTTCAGTAACTGTGGCACATAGAATAACATTAACAGCAGAAATCCATCCGTACACTCATCCTTCTGTCTCATGGTGATCACTCCCTGCACTTTATGCAGTCCTAAATGTACTTGTGTAAGACTTTAAGAATTTAAACATCATACAAAAAACCAGATACAGATTTGACTTAAATTCACAAAAAAAGGGGGGAAAAAGCACTGAAATACCTCTTTACTGTCAGTATGTTAAAGAGCACTGAGGTTTGTTTGTTTTCTGAATGGCGTGACACAAAAAAAAGTCTCCACCCCTGCTGATGGGAAAATTTGGACTCATGAAACGCCTGTCATAAAGATATGGAGAGGAAGAGAAAGAAACATAGAGGCACATGATTGAGGTTGTTTTCAATCAGCAGATGCTGAGAGGGCAGTTGCTTTACATTTAGTGATGAGTCAATGGGTGACGCAGCTAGAGATTTGCTCGTGTGGTTTTATAATGACGGGAAGACGAGACAACAACCTGCCTTCGAGGCAGGTCTTAAAATGTTGTGCTGCTCTGGTGGTTTGGCTTTAATTACTCATAAACATATGTGGACACACGCAGACTGTCTGAACGTACATCTGTGTGTGTTGCATAAAGACAGACTCAGCAGAATGTGCCTTAGAGCATAGTAATCTAAGTGTTTGTATCCTCTATTTAACAAAAAACAAATAAATAGATCTGTGGTGGGAAAGTCGTCCAGTTTAAAAAGAACGGTCAGTTTAAAAAGAACAGACATAAAAGGAAGTCATCAAATGTGGAAGGTGTATATAAACACTAACTGTCAGATGCAATAATTAAAACTAAAGATTACTACAGGTTCATGATATTAGATATCTGCAGTGGAACAGCTGGAATGTTTTGTTCTCAGGTGTTGTGGAGGAAGCATTTAAAACCATTTAAACCAGTTCAGTACCAGTAAATTGTACCGAGCTGCTTGTAAGTGCAACCTGATACTTGCAACCTGATGAAAACAATATTTTTTAATATTAAACTTTTAGAATAATGGATAATGTTAATGTTGTACAGGAACAAACAGAACTTGTATAGATTCTCAATCATCTAGGTTGGGGTAATGGAAAAAATTACGTTTTTGAAGATATTTCCGCTGTCATTTAAGAGGCTTCTTCACTTCTAAAAACACAGTTTGGGTGGAGGTTGTCCTCTTTTTGCATGTGGTAAAGAGGTTGACCCATAATTGATTGTTAATGATAAAAGGCATTGGTCATTACAGTCAGTGGAGGTTAAGGTTGAAAACACTGTGGGAATTTGCCCAGGCCTGTTATTTGGCCCAGTGAGATCTTGTCAACTACAAATTTGTGTATTTGCACTCCCTGTTTGGTCATACACCACTACTGTATTTAATCAATGGTAATTATTAAATCCAGGTTCTTTTTCCCATAGTTTGTTTTTGTCCTCGCTCTGTCTTCTTCTCTCTCCCCTCACTCCCAACCAGCTACAACAGATGGCTGCCTTCCCTGAGGTTTCCTTCTTCCTTCCCACTGTCACCAAGGGGTTCTCTCTGTTATTGCATGATCTTTACAAAATAAAGCACCTTGAGGCAACTGTTGTGAATTTGCACTATATAAATAAAATTAAATTGATTTCAGTGGAGTGCCTCTCCTCCTCACAGACAGGCACATGGCGAAGAGTTTCTCACGCGCATCACAAGCAGCTATGCCTCGCCAAACAACATCCTTGACTTATTCTATGAATTTTTGTTTCTACATGTTGTGTCCTCATTTGTTGTTTATGTTAAGAGGGAGGCAACATCGCCTACTTGGCAGATCTATAAATATATTTTAGACTTGTGAATTGTGAAACAGCTGCTTCCTGTAAAGGGGAACCTCTGGCAACATCATATGATGAGAAATGTGAGGAACCATCCCTGCTTGCCATGGGGAAGTGATCTGTCCTTAGTGCTTAGTCCAGTCTGACCTTGCAGGACAGACTGGTGCTGACCTCGAGCTCAACTGGACCAACATGAACTTAAGCAGTAAAAATAACTATTGCTGTTTCAGTCCAAAACAACCCAATGAGTAACCAGTAACACAATAGTGTGTTAATGATCGCTCTTTTGCTTTATCTCGACACTTTTAGATAAGCTACATGTCACCAAACATGCACATATGTGACATTTGTACACATTTGTGGTAATGACTACACGTTCCTGATGCACAAGCAGCCCAACACTAACCCCGGTACGCTGTAAGGACTTTGAAGAGACAAGTCGTCCAAATTAGGAACAAACTAATTTTCTTCCTTACATCTAGTAATATCAAGCTTTTCAGATTGTTTTTATTTTTAAGTGCATATAAAAGTGAATCATTTGTAGTATTCAGAAACACTGACAGTACATGAACCAATTTCCTGAGAATATGAGGAAGGCGGAAGGCATTTGACACCAACACTTACTTAACTGGATTTTTCAAACATTTTTAAATCCAATTATTGCAATAGTAACAATTTTTTTTTAAAAGAGGACTAGGCTATCCCAAATACTAAAAATGAAAAACTCACCACCACAAATGTGGTTGTACTTCTTTAAATTTGCAGTGCTCACATCATTGAAAATGATCTCTAAATGACTAAGGAATAAGGAGAATAGAAACCGGAAGATAAGCTGAAAAATGTTCTCTAATTCAGAGACAGCTTAAACTAAACTCATTAATTACTTTTGACTCAGTTAAAAGCTGTACCCTTACCCTCCTTCACGGTGATAGAATAATCAGGCAATTATCAGTACAAATACCCATAATAGTTTAACAGTCAAACTGATTAGATGATTAGCTGGATTCAGTTAATACGATAAAAATAGGGCTAATAAAAAAGGACTTTGTCTGATAAACTGTAATTAACCTTTCTTAATCATGGGAGTAACTCTGTGTACATGTGCCACTGTGTTTGTCATCAGCTACACATGGCCCATCAGTATCCCACTGACTCACATATGTTGAACGCACATGAGACATCTGGTTATGCCGTCTGTACACACGGTCTAACACATGCTGTGGAAAAGTGATCGACCTGCCTCCATGCCCTGCTACACAGCTGCTACATGTAGTAAGGCAAGTCACACAGTTGGAAGAGAACATGCACTCACTTGACGTTTAACGTCTATTGAAAAGACTGCTCCAACATCCTACTGCTGGATACACTGGCAAGGATTTCCTACTTTTGTGCGTGCATTTGTGTGTGTGTACCAGTCAAAGCAGTACACCTACCTCTTTGTGCAGACATGGGTTCTTTCTCAGCAGCCACACAATGCTCTTTCTATTCTTTGCCCCTCTCTTTCCTCTCTGTCTCCCCCTTCCTCTCACTCTTTCTCTCTAACCCTCTGTCTTCCACACACTCTGTTTCCCCCCTCTCTCTCTCTCGCTCTCTCTCTCTCTCGCTCTCTCTCGTTCACTCGCTCTCTCTCTCTCTCGCTCTCTCTCTCTCTGTGTGGTAGCACAGCTCTCAGCTCTCAGCTCAGTCTGTTTTCAGCACCTCCTTTCACATACACTCGCTTTATTAGGAGAAGCAGAGCTTCTCTCCTCCCTCTTAACCCACTCCCCTCCTTCACAGGCGCCTTCAGCTTTCCTTCTGTTTGTCCCCTTTCTTTTACTGTCTTCCTCTCCATCGATGTTATTGTCTTTGTCATTTTTCCTCAGTGTGTGCATGTGTGGTTACTTATATTCTGCCTCTCTTTTTTAATCTCTTCCACTTCTCTAGCACTTTTGCTCTCTTACACTAGTGCCTTTTTAAAATCATTTTCCTTCTCCCTATAATTCTTTGTCATTGTCTCTGTCTTGTAGAAGTGGGTCAAACATGAAAGCAATGTTAGATCTTGAGTTGGAACCAGAGCTGGAACCAAACCTGGAGGGATGTTCGAGAGAAGTGCGGAAAAGCAGGAAAAAAGTCAATTTCCTGCTTTAATCGTTGATACCAGCAACCCCCTCCCTTTTCTTTCCTTTTTCTTTTTTAAAGATGCAATCTTAACTTGGAACTTGGGGGAAAAAAGCAAACCAAAAAAAAAGCATCTTAATACTTCTACTGAAATCTCAGATACAGACCCTTTTAAAGATAAAGAGGCTTGGTCATCCAGCACAGGATGATGATTAAACTCCCAGGGTCTTGACATGGACACCACTGCCTGCAAGCTGTGTTTGCTTTTTCCACACTTTTAACAAGGTTACAAAACAAAGACTTGGGTGTATTTGTGTCCCAGCTACTCGCACACCAGGGTACACTTTAAGTGCAGCAGTTCAACACCACAGTGCTGCTGCTTGTGTGAGAAAAAACCTGCTCCCATCAACAAAAAAAATGGAAAATGTATGAGTGTGATATGCATGCATACTAATGTATGCTTTGTGCAATCAGTACAAGTGGCAATGAGGAAATGGTTTGTTTTCTTTATGGAGGAACCGCAGACGGAGGTGTTATTTTTGCTTGGAGCTCTTCCAGTATTTTGTGCAGTGATCAAAGAAAAACACGCATTATTACGGCAACAGTTATTCTCACTTAATTGTATCCTAAATGACAAGCTGAACATTTCCTTCAAGATGGCGGTATGGTCCTATTGTTCAGCTTGAATTTGTGAACGCTCCATCAGTCTGTCACTAAATATGAAAATCATCATTAACAGTAAGTATCTATCTATCCAGTGATGTGCGCAGTGAGAGAGAGCAGGGGGTAACTGTTTGTACTTATGCTTCAAGTGCCTCAGTCCAAGACTAATGTCTATAAACAGATTCTGGATAAGAAAAAAACACACGAAATCTTTAAGCAAAGGACAAGATTTTTGGTACTTTATGGTTTCCATTTGTAGTTTTTGTAGTTCCATTTGCCAGTTAAATTTGAACATGCTCTGATTGCATTCATGTAATCATTCACGTTTATAGCAAAACAAGGACCGTGTTTGCCAGAATGCTATTTCAAATCTTTCAGCTAATATAGACCAGCAGATGGA